TAAGAATGTGTTTGGATTCTATGATCGATATTGATGAAAAGTGTTCATGGAGTTTTGTATAGCTACAATTTTTGCATTCGATGGTGGACATTTATGTTACCCCGATAGGATTTCGTGCTCAGTAGATTTGGCAACCCAGTTCTAAAGTATAATCCCATGTACATGTACCTACCCTAAGGGACAGCACCCAACGGTCTGATAGGAAGCGCCTAACACCCTACCCTTTTACTACTCACTCTACTGGGTCTGTCCAGTGCGTATTTCAAACCATGCTGAGATAATGTGGGAACAATGGAATTGATTTATATATCGATTTTGCAGTGGAATTACTTTGACTTTTTTATCAAAGCTCAAAATTGGTAAATTCGCACGATAAATTATTGGCGAAAGAGGTCCAACAAGGAGCTGTAGAGAAAAAGGCCTTTCAAATTGTGACTTTTATAAGAGCAATTTGCTGTAGTGGTTTATTTGTCATTGCACAAAAAATACAAATATTTTTTACAGAAAAATACATATCAAGCAAAAAGGATTAAAAAATGCCCAGCAGTTCCTGCAAATTTCTAGTTGTACCTATTTTTTGAGAAACCGTCTAGCGACTTTCAGTTAAACGTAGTATTGAAAGGCATACCAAATTATAGAAAAGTAAATACAAATTCCAAAAATGGTCATTCCTCATAAGGAAATTAAAAATAACCTGCTATTCTGACGATACATAATGACGTCACATCAAATTGCCGCGTTTTTACATTTTATTCATAAATCACTTCCTATTAGCATTAAAAGTTGGAATATAGATGGAACATGAACATCATGGCGGGTAATTTCCATGAGGGCATCTATCCGTCTATTAAAAATACCCTGCCTTTTCACGAATCATGTGGGATTCATTATCAAAAACCTCATACGGCTCAATTTTTTTGTAATCTAAGCCTTCGTCAATTCTATACCAAAATAATTCTTATAAAAAGGGTATCCCAAAACCGTCAAATACACATTTTATTTATTTGAGAAAAAGTAAATTCTGCGTTTAGACGTACCTGCGTATAGAAGTCATGTAACACGAAGTAGATTTTACAAAAAGTTTGCGCTACTCTATCGGACAAAATGCCATCTCCGGAAGTATCAATCCAAATCTAGTCTGATATACCTCATTTCATCCTTTGGTGATGTCTTTCAGAATGTACAATATAAAAATTTTATGTCTGTGGGGAGCGCCTCATTTTCCAAGTAGGGAGCATATAATTCTTGTCAACAACTTTTTATATATATTTTACAATGCCGGAGCTATCGACCGATTACACACTAAAGCACTCACATATGTAAAAAATGGAAAAATAAAAAACGTTCAACTTTTTTGGGAAGCCGCTTTGAGGTGGATCTGAGAAAACAAAATTATTATAACAGAATTTCCGATGTATCCTGCCAATCTCCCTTGACCTTTGTTCCAATAGCCTGTCGACCTATATAAGTTCAATTTCGAGGGCAGCATAAATTTGTTTGCATATTCATCAGAGCAAAATGAAAAAGAGGGGGAATAATTACATACAACATGGACAGGGGATCCGAAGCTGGACGAACAGACGCAGCATAAATATTCGGAGATTAATAAATTTGAAATAAGTGACAAAATTGTTTTTTTTTTCATTTTGCATTGGAGCAGCATCAGATATGGGGAGCTTTGCCTGTGCAGTTGCTGTCCAGATAGTATTTCGTCTCACAAACATAATATACAGTGGTTTACGAAAAAGGTTCCCATCCTTAATTTTCTAAATAGGTCAATTAGCAAGCCGAACTTCGGGGTTTATTTTGAGCGACTTTAACGGAAAAAACATCTGATTCTTTCAAAATGGCGTGGATGATGTGCTACCTCGTTTTGGAGCCAGTTATTAGTAATTTATAATAATGATAATAATAAATTCGTCTTTATGCAATGTAGACCATAGTACGAATTATGAATTGTTGCTTATCAAAAAATGAATGGAAAATGAAGAAAAAATATTGCATATATGGAATCAATATTATGACTATTCATTCATCATATTCAATATAATTCATTAAAAATAAACCTTTGATATTTTACCTAAATTGGTTTAAGGACATCACTTTAGAGTTAGCATCTATGTTGTTATGAATACTAGCAGCACTGACGACTAAGCTGCGCTGGAATAAGGATGAATTATGGTGGGGAATAGTGATTGTGTTTCTTTGCCTGATGCATCTGTCATGCGCAGTACCAGTACGAATTAACTTCCCTCTACAGATATAGAGGCTAGTTGTAGGCACTAATTTGTGGATGGAAATGAGATAATTAAGCTCCACCAAATAGAGCACTTTCAATCAGCACAAAGAAGTGAACTTACTTGAATCATAATCAAAGATAAATCTTAAGCAACTGTTCTGAACAACCTGTAGTCTGTTCTTAGCTATGTCATTGAGGCAAGGATAGAACAAAATAATACATAACTGGTATTACAAGTAAGTTGTAGAGTTGTTTCCTCAATTTATTAAGGATAAACTTGTTAGCATATAAAGCCAACAGTCGCAGGTATGATTTATTTAGGAGATTCTTTACATGGTCTGTGAACCTAAGCCTCTGGTCGATAGTAACTCCTAATATTTTTGTACAACGAGAGAATTTTTTTTCTGTACCAATATTTACCAATAACAATGATACAACAGCATCCTTCGTAGGCTCAGAGCAAAAAAGCGTTGCATTGGACATTGATGGATTTATGGCAAGATTGATCAATTTTGAAAACTGACAGAGCCTTTCAATATCAGAGATAAAATTAGTTTGACGATCGTGGATATTATCTATATCAAAGTAGTGAAGGAGCTGCGTCTGTTGTTGACATTTTTTGGCAAGTCGGCAATATATAAAAGAAAAAGGACCAAGGACTGATTCTTGGGGCACATCAGACGTATTTTTTTGAAAATTTGATGTTTTGGATATGATCAAAGAAACACATTTAGAAAAATATTCAAGGTAACTTCTGAAAAAAGTGTTCGCTTTTTGATCGAATCCATAAAACCTTAGCTTGGCAACCAACAAACTGGTTGATTTTATCCTAGCTTAAAAATGTATCAACTTTCAAAATGTTAATTGGATTGCTTACAACATAATAACTATCATCAAATCGTAATATGTTATATCAACGATCTCCATCTGTTGCAGGGATCTGCATCTGTGTGCTATAAAATATAAGATATTTAGTTTAAAAAATCGTCTAAATTTACAATTTTTTATAAATGCACTGTTCCAAATTATAGTTGGTATAACATACATTCTGATTATGGGTTGTTGAGTTATACGGAACTCAATGTTCAGAAAAGCTAAACTTTGATAGCCTGCCAGTCTGCCATTTAGAAATATAAGGACTTTTTATTTTACGGCTATAAATTACTCATGCCGAGCTTTAAAATAAGGTGTCACATTCCATTTAAAAAAGTTCCATAACTGCCTTAACAGCCATATTAGAATTTTTAACCGCATAGTATTCCAGAATCAATTCCATCAACCCGAATTCCAGCTTGTTAAATAGGGTCCTACAGAAGATAAGTAGTAGGGAGAAAAACACTGCAGCCTTGATTTTTGGTGGTTGTAATAAATTTCGGGAGTTTGAAATTTGACTCCCACCATTAGGATGTCGAAAACGGTAAGAGATACGAAGTCGCTCAAATGGGGGCAAAGTCGCGCATTTAGGAAACTAGAAAATTGCACTTTCCTCTAAATTTTCTCAAAATCTACTTTATTTTTTGTCCGACTTCATTTCAGATGGGATTTCAAAATAGAAAGCACATTCACATTGCCGCTTGTTCTCTTTTAGGAGATGGCATAATTGAAATTTCAAGATGATGTTTCGTTTCTTGTCCTTAATCATCAGTTAATTTAAAAAGATCTTTAATGACATGAACTAACATTGTCAAACCTAAGTTATTTAAAACAAACTGATATTTTCGCAGTTGGCCTTGTTTAACCGATCAAATAACCAATGTGTCGGTTGTTCAGAAGCATGTTAAGGACATTCAGATAATTTAACCATTTATCGACTATAACAAGTGTTACCTTAACACTATTTAGGCGCTCTATATTTCACCTCTCATAGTATTTATAATAATAAGAACGTCTTCATTCAAATTCGAACAACCAAGAGAGACACAAGCAGCGAAGTTTAGCCAAGGCTACTCTTACACTTAACTGCTTATGTCGATTACATTATATATTCAAAACATGAAGGATAATAAAAATAACATGATACTGAAAAAAACATACACCTGTGTGAGCATAAAAACGGTCATGTTCTACATCTGTAACTCAGAATTGGTTAGCATATGGGGCGCAGCCTGCTTTTGACATGCTCACAAAAACTCGATAAGGACATAGATTTTAAGCTATTTTCCAAGTGATTATAAAATTAGGGCTGCATTATACCAAAAACCACGTTGGAACAAAGCAGAATTGTGTGGGGCGATTCTGATACCTACTTGAATAGCAAATTACCTCTCAAGTATTCAGATATGACGGTATACCGACTGCCCTAATTATACATAATCGTGCTTCGGAGTACGAAAATAAATGCTTTGATGCAAGACGGCTAAATATAAATGTTGTTGTTCTATAGGATAGTGGACGAGTGTTTATTTTTTGTGCAGATACTATTTTCGGAATCGAAATTGAAAATATATACATGACCTTGGTAAGCAACACTGGCATTTTGTCCATTCGTTCAACCGAAAAACTACGGGTCATCTGAAAATAGATCTCGTAGTGAGCCAAAATCAGCATTTAAATTAAAAAAATTCTTATGGAAACTTTAGCACTGTCTAATTTTGAATATTTATTCAACTATTTAAGCCGCCAACGACAGCTTAGCTAGGTATTTCTTTCTAACGATATTCTCTCTATGGTGATCTACTCATAGAAAATAGATTCAAAAGGCTTCTTCACGGTTCGCTCACTATAGCAATTTCCATCTATTTTATTAGCAGGTACATCTTACCTTATTGTTGAATGAAGCGACTATTAGTTCAAGATCACTTCGATTTATTAATTATACTACTTGACCAGCACATCGCACAATACGTCCGCCATTTATGAATGAATACCAGTACCAGAATACTACGTCCAGTGTTGAAAAGTGGAGATGATCATAATTCCGCAGAATAGTGTAAAATTATTTGGTAGATCAGGTAGCAACGAGCAAATGAAGGCATGTACTTCAAACAATTTTATTTCACTTGAGATGTACTCCAAAACAGAAAATAAAAACAAAAATACACAGTTTATAATTATGTCACTATCAGTTTACTAAAAATACGCCATTCTTAAAAAATCCAAAAAGGTGTATAAAATATAAAATGAAACCATATTTTTTGCATATCACTTGAGTTAATCAGTATTCTAATTGATTTTAGTATCACTGAGTTATACTACTTTTCATTAGATTTATTTGTTAAAACACTCTCTCAACGTAAGCTGAAACATTGAACGCAAATCTAAGTAAACACATAGATACCATCTCTATATTTAAAATGGGCAACAGAGCTCCAGAATACCTTTCATTGGAGAACTGTTCAATTACTTTGGTATTTCCTAGTAAATGCCACTTTGTAACTAGAGATTGTATATAATAATATTAATAAAGTAATATAAATATTGTTGATCTTCCACATAACCTCAATATGGACGAAACGTAAGAAAAAGTTTACACAGGCAGCATAAAACAATTACAGAACAGTTATGATATTCAGCAGAAAGAAAAGGTTAACATTAGACACATAAACGGATCAAGTACAGAAAAACGAAACAATTACTCAAGCATTGATAAATGTTTGTCGAATAGCTGTTTTCTAACCGATTTTCGATTTCTTAAAAGTAGGTAATCTGTTCTGTTTACTATACATATACAGGGTGACTTCGAAGTTGAGTCATTTATTTTAACAGTGAGTAGATCTGATCTAAAGAAATGTTTTTTCCTTTACCATTTTTCTGGTAATATTAAAGTAACAAAGTTATAGCCCTTTGGAAGTTTGAGTACCGCCCTGTCTCAATAATGATATTATGTTCTCGTGTTTGGCAACAACAGATATAATCCGCCTTATCCGTTCATCGCATCGGAAACAAAAAAGCGAAAGAATTTGGAACGATCTTTTTACAATTATTTTCTTCAGTTGTATACAGTCAGTATCAGTCGGTAGTCGGTAACGCGTAAGTGAATAATCGTGTCTGTTGCGAGGCTCAAATCAAAAATGGCACATGTTTACGAAAATGCTGAACTTGTGGACATGGTTCTTATTTACGGGGAGTCTTTACAAAATGCTGCCGCGGCATCACGGATCTATGCGGATCGGTTTCCCAATCGAGTGCAACCAACCCCTCGTGCCTTTGTTAATGTAGTGCAAAGAGCTCGTGAATCAGGTGACTTAAGACCTCACAGAGGAGATCATGCCGGTGCTCCAAGACCACACGATCAAATAGAACTAGAAGAACAAATTTTAGAATTAGTAAGTGATGATCCAACAGTAAGCACCCGACAAATTTCAACTCAATTGGCGATTAGTCAGTATAAAACTTGGAAAACTCTACGTGAAAATCAGTTCTATCCGTTTCACATACAAAAAGTGCAGGCCTTACAACCGGAAGATCATGAACAAAGGGTTGACTTTTGCAATTGGCTTTTAAATAAACATCAAAATGATGACAATTTTTTAAATCAAATTTTAGTGAGTGATGAAGCCCTCTTTACTAGAAACGGAATTATTAATTCACGTAATTCTCACGTTTGGGCTATTGAAAATCCCCATGAAATAAGGGAAACCAATTTTCAACAGCGATTTGAACCAATCAACCTGTGGGCGGGAATTGTTAATGGAATTTTAGTGGGGCCTTTTGAATTACCAAATCGCTTAACTGGTGAAAATTATTTTGATTTCTTGCAACACAATTTGCCTGGTTTACTGGAAGATGTGCCTTTAAATATTAGACAAAACATGTGGTTTTTACAAGATGGGGCACCACCCCATTATGCAAGAAATGTGCGTGAATTTTTAAATAGACAATTTAATAATCGTTGGATCGGCCGTGGCGGTTTTGTACCTTGGCCGCCAAGGTCTCCGGACTTAAATCCTTTAGACTTTTGTTTGTGGGGTTGGCTAAAAACTCTAGTGTATAAAACACCGGTTAATACACGCGAAGAATTACGTGCTCGAATTGAGGAAATAAGTACAGTGATCAGAAATCAACCAGTGATTTTATTGCGTGCTTGTAAAGAGACATGGCTAAAGGGGCCTACAGACACACGAACATGTATTAAGACATGAACGCACGGCGATGTTTGCGCAGTGATACCCGTCGATCTACTTTAAGCTCCACACATAGAGACTTGTGTATCAGTTTTCTGCACGTCGATGTTGTAGTTTGTCGCCATGTCTAGCGATGATGAGTTAAACTTACTAGCAGTGGCGTGCGTTTGTATTGTGAAAAAAAGAAAACATCAATTGAAAAAGAGACGTCAGCCACGAAGAAAATGGGTTAAAGATTGGCTTTTGAAGCGGGATCAATATTCTCACATCAATTTACTTGAAGAGCTACGATTATTATTATTATTATTATTATTAAACAACAAATTTGAGTTGAGTACAAGTACTATAAACTCAAACACAAAAATAGATAATAGTGTACAGACAAAAGAAATATAACAAATTGACATTCTTTGCACTACTGAAGTAGACATATACAGAATGGGAACAATATGTTAAGCACTGCGGTGTCTATCGTAATTGTTTTTGAAACTGTTGACGGATTCCGAGTTCACTACATAAGATGGAAGACTGTTCCATGCATCGAAGACACGGTTTGAGATGAAGCGCTGACGAGTAGAGGTTCTAAAAGCTTCCTTCTGCAATTTGAAGTTATGGCCTCTGAGACTGTTCGATGCCAGACGAAACAGATGCGACATGTCCACACCAAACAAATTATGAAGTGCTCTGAAAGTGATGATGAGATCTCCTCGTTCTCTTCTATCAGCAAAAGCAGGCAGGTTATATAGCTCGAGGCGGTCTTCATAACTTGGCCTACGTGTGCCATATGGCATACGTGTTGCACGACGCTGAACGGCCTCTAATAAGCTGCTATCGCGAACAAGGTTTGAATCCCATACCGGACCAGCAAACTCCAGTAGGGGTCGTACGAAAGTTGCGTATAAAAAGGAGGAGGTACTAACGGTGCAACCGCTAAATGACCTTTCCATCATATATAGCAACCGCTTTGCCTTAGAGGTTATGTTCTGAATGTGCTCCGACCAGGTGAGCCGGCCATTAACTGCCAGACCAAGATCTGTGTGATGAAGAACAGACTCTAAGGTATGTTTGCCAATCTTATATGTTATGTTAGGATTATTCTTTCCCAGGTGGAGAACGTAGCATTTCGATAGATTTAAAGGCAGGAGCCAGAGTTCTGACCACTTTCTGATCAGCTTGAGGTCTTCTTGAAGCACAGATGAGTTCATGACAGTGTTATAGACTTTAGTATCATCTGCATAGATGGAACACATAGAATAAAGTCGGGTGGGAAGGTCGCTTGTATAAAGAAGAAAAAGTATTGGCCCTAGCACAGATCCTTGTGGAACTCCACTAGTAACACGATGACGAGAAGAATAGGCGTCTCCAACACGGACGGAGAAAGATCTGTCTAACAAAAAAGCTTCAATCCATAACAACAAATTTCCTCTGATTCCGAGATGTTCAAGCTTGTGCAGGAGCCTTTTATGCGGAACTCGATCGAAAGCTCTGGAAAAATCCAGAAAACCTGATGATTGGCGAAACTACCTCCGGATGGATGAAGATAGTTATATAAAACTCCTAGAGATGGTTTCGCCACTTATTGAAAAACAGAACACACCGATGAGACCCGCTATATCGGTACATGAAAGACTGTCGGCCAGATTGAGGTATTTGGCAACTAGGAGGAATTATGAAGATTTAAAATTTTCTACCCTGATTTCTCCACAGTCATTGTGCAACATAATTCCAGAGACATGCAGCGCTATTTATGAAGTACTGAAGAAAGACTAATGAAGGTGGGTACAGAGTATATTACTTAGTAGTAAAATAAACAAAATAAACACAAACACAAACTCTCAAGTATTCTATTTTTATACATACAACGCTAATCTAATGGAACTCTTATATGTAAATATAAACTGGACCTTAAATATTAGCTTCACTTAGAGGATTATACGATCCAAAATAAGTTGAAACTGTGGAGCTACCCTCGTTGATTTGTTGAGGATGGCTTTGATGGCACTGGGGCTTAAGTGGCATAGCTGGTAGCAAATAAGTTTGAGCTTGATTTTGTGTGCCTGATATATTTATAGGTTGAGTTGAATTGTAGTTATATTGATTAGGGTAGCAAGCATCAACAACGCTATTACTGGAAAAATTGTTTTGATTCTGTTCATTGTCTCCTGACGAAACAATCCTAGTATTTCTGGACACGTTACCCATTTCAGCCTCAAACAGCAGATCATTTATGAGTTTCTCAGTGTATAATCTGGTTTCTTTTGGGAGTCCTTTCAATTTTGCTGCGACATTTTTCCCAAAAATGGCGAATTGATCGTCATTCTTGGAATGTAGTCTTTCTCCTACCGCCGCCAACACGTTGTCTGCTTCTTGGTTATCAGAGTTTGTCTTGCGTTTATTTTTTCCCCGATTTCCAGCTGCAGGCAGCGGTACAATGTTTTCTGGATTGGAAATTGGACGTACATTTTGACTACTACAAGGTCTGGATATTGGCGGACTTGGTACTGAGCTCAGCTCACTCTCTTGACTTTCATTTACATCATATCTAGTTTTATGCAAAAAAATATATATTTTTGATTTTTTTTCAGTTCCCAACGACCGAGAATGAATGGAGAAATATTGCAGACGACTTCGAAAAGAGATGCAACTGTCCGAACTGCCTGGGGGCGGTAGATGGAAAACATGTCAATATAAAACCGCCCACCGGAAGTGGTTCATATTTTTATAACTATAAAGGAGCATACAGCCTAGTGCTCTTGGCAGTGGTCAACGCAAATTACGAGTTCATTATGTGTGATTTCGGGATCAACAGCCGCATATCTGATGGAGGAGTTATTGAGTACAGCCAGTTTTACCGGAAGCTTAAAGATAGGAAATTCTCCATACCACCTCCAACAAGAACAACGAACAGTAAAGAAGCATTGCCATTTGTTTTTATAGGTGATGAAGCGTTTGCACTCCGCTGTGATTTCTTGAAACCATTTAGCCAGAGAGACTTGGATCATGATAAGAAAATGTTCAATTATCGTCTCTCAAGGGCAAGGATGTAGAGTAGAGAATGCTTCGGTATACTCTCTGCTCGATTTAGAATATTCCACACAGCTATATCTATTAACTTAAAAGCAATTGACAAAGTAGTGATTACATGTTGTGTTCTGCATAATTTTCTGAGAAGAAGAACTGCCACTGTGTATGCACCTGATAACAACTTATACAGGGAGAACCATGAAGATGGCACTGTTGAATTAGGCTTGCAACCCAATCAGATGACTAGTTTGTAACGGAGTTACAATAGAAGAGCAAAGAAGGATGCACAAGAAGTTAGACAGTTATTTCTGAACTACTTTAATAATGAGGGATCCGTAGCTTAGCAGGAAAGAATGATTTGCTAATTTATGTATTATACCTTCTAAGTACTTAAGTTGAAGTAAAGCGAATCAAAATATCAAGACGATTTTGTATTACCCTCTATATTAATATGTGTACTACTTCATTATTTCTTACATGAAATCAAAAAATGGCATCAAGTAGGTTGACTCCGCACTTCCCACGCATTGATTTTATCGGTTCAAGCATATCCATGTTTTTTATATATATATGTGTTATATATTATATACCATCCATAAAATATAATACCTCATTTTCGAAATTATTCGCGATTTGGTTAGGTGGAAGAGCGCGGATTGACAGCTAATGGTTGTCAATCAAGCAAACCTTACCGTTTGCTCACTGCATCAGATTTATGTACTTTTTCTTTTTCTGTACTTACATGAGCAATAAAAGCAATTTATTATTATTATTATTATTATTATTACAATACTTCCTCTTTTCCTCTCCAGTTGGCGTGGGAAGTAAAAGTCAAATAAATAAATCAGGCCTTACCTCCAGTTCTAGAGCGTCTTCATTTTCCATTTCTGAATGGCAACTGTCCATTTCACTGTCGCTTCCAACATCTTCAATATTACTAATGGATTGTCTAGGGATTTCCTGATCCTTTATAAATAAAAGTAGATCATAATACCATAAATGTGGTATATAAACATCATCTGCTGCAGCACCCGATCTTCTCGACTCTTTAATTTTTCTTAGTTCTCTCCGAAAACTAGCTCGGAGGCTATTAATTTTAGTTTTAACCATTTCTTTGTTGTCATTTTTCTCAACTTCTTGGAGCTTCAGCACCAACACTTTATATGCTTTGTTTTTTTTATTGCGATCCATATAGTCTTTTGATTTTACTCGCCACAAACATGGATAGGATTTGTATAGTTCTATGAACTCTGTTATAAACTCTTTGGAAAAACTTCTCAAATCTGCCATATTGACAAATTCAAAACTAAATGAACTTCTAAGTTGACCCCCCTGCTCCTAACAACAGAATACACGAATGCAGTCGCGCCACTGAATTAAGTCTGTGAAAATTAGTACGTTTTGTCTACACACAGGCATACATACACGCGCGTACAAGTCTGTGCAGGCATAAATTCAAGCGAAAACAGAAAGCATGTGCGTCGGTCTTTTAACTAGAGATTTGTCTACACACTGGCGAACATCAACGCGCAAACGTCGACGTGCGTTCATGTCTTACTACATGTTCGTGTGTCTGTAGGCCCCTTAAGACGCGCCCAGCTGTGCGTCGAGCAAAACGGAAATCATTTCGAACAGTTTTTGTGACATGCTTTTGGGCGCACAGGTCCGCACTGAAATACTTGTCGGGAGGATACTTTATAAAACAAGGTAACATTTTTTTTTTAATTTTTTTTTATTTTTACACACATATTTTGGTTTATCTTCCTTCTACAATCATTATCTGAAAATTAATGACTCAACTTCAAAGTCACCCTGTATATGTTTATATATCTGAACGGCACTGTACGTGAAATATCTTTGATACAATGAAGTACGGTGGAGAAGAGTATCATCATGGGGCAACCTTCTTGTAATTAAATGTCTACGAGGAACTAGCTTACTTGCTACCTCCTCTTGATGATGATTATTTTTTTAATAAAAACTAACATCAAAACATCAAAAAAATTTTTTAAGCCTCAGCCACCCCCCATCTCACAAATCTTAGATGTACATGGCTGTACCTACGAAGACCGAAATCGGCAGCAACAATTTTGAATTTTTTGCAATTTGGTTTTTGTTATGGAGTCAAGCCAAGGATAAAATAGAATGGAACAGTAACGCAGATTAGACATAACTAAACTCTTTACTAATTTCTTTCGAGTCTTGAAAATGAAGATATAACGATTGGAATATACCTATAGGAGCCTCAAGCTTGCATATCTAGCATTCAATATATTACTGACGTGGTGATCAAATTTAAGATTCACATCTAAAGTGACACCAAAACGTTCATAGTTTGGTTTTAGGACAGAATAGCATTGCAAAACTCTTATTAGGATTAATCTTCAAAAACTTCACTATCCTGTTCACACTAAATTTGGAAAAATTATTAGCAAGTCAGGTTACGTCCAGATCATTCTATAGCTGGATGTATAATTTTTCTATCGGATTATTTTTTAAAGGATAAAATTTTACTACTCCTTTAAAGGGTATAAGTTATTAAGTTCAGCCTTTTAGATTTTCTATTAAAAAAAGTCCAAAGACCAAAATCGATAGATCTACCGAAAGATTGGTAAACTTGGTAGCATTGACTACGCCACTGCGTGCAGCAACCCTATGGCTGATCCACCCTGGCCAGGACCTCGCTCTCGCCCTTAATGGCTGGAATACATAACATAACCTATGCTGACTGCATAAGGAATGGAGTTTTCAAATTCGTTGTCCCAATTCTCCCAGCTTGCATTATTTGTGATATCTTACGCAAGCAATTCGCATATGAAAGTTTCATATATTCAGAAGGCCAGGATTAAGATCTGATGAAGGATAGGCTTGGACTTTTATTATAATGCACGATTTCAAATTCGAACTTCACCGAGATCAAGCAATTAGGTAACTTAAAAATGACTGCTAAAACTATGCTTCTTTGCGATTTCAGGTAACATTTTACACATCATAAATACTTGTTTAGAAAGGGGATTCTTTCCAGAATCATGCAAAGAAGCATTAGTGTTACCTCTAGCTAAAATAAGTAAGCCAAAATTATATTCTGATTTAAGACCAATTAGTATTTTACCTGTTTTGTCCAAATTATTAGAAAAAGCAATGTACGCCCAAATTGACGATTATCTCTCTAAAAATTTTGCCACCCAAACAATGAGGTTATCGAAAAGGATATAACACTGCAGGTGCCCTATTAGACTTAACCGATAACATTGTGAGAGCCTGGGATCAACATATGATCACATATTCGTTCTTCTTGACTTCTCTAAGGTATTCGATACCATAAAATATCGTCTTCTAGTAGCCAAGTACAAATATTTTGTTTTTTCTGACTCTGCCTCAAAAATAATTCAGAGCTTCTTAGGAAATCGATATCATTGACATGGTTCTATCTTCAAAGTGCCTCATTTCCTCCATAGTGCCTCAAGGGTCTGTACTTGGGCCACTCCTATTCATTTTGTATATTTCTGATCTCCACTCAGTTGTTAAATATTGTAATATCCAATTCCTTGCTGACGATTGCCACAGATCTACAGTCATTTCCATAATCACGACATTCGAAATGCTGAATCTGAGGTAAATGAAGATATAACATCTATTAGTATGTATGCAAAAAATCATAACCTTCAGTTGAACCCTTTAAAACCGAAAGTCATTATTTTTTTCACCAAAACTGTTTAGAAGTGATGCCAAAAGAAATTTTAAAGTAAAATGGTGAGACTATAGAAGTGAGTGAGTCAGTGAAAAACTTGGGCGTAACTTTAGATGAATGTCTAAATTTTATACCACATGTAAATAATATCAGTAAAAGTTGTTTTTCAATTTTACGTCAATTATTTCTTAATAAACACTTTCTTGACTTTACAACAAAAAAAAATTTGTGTAAATCTTTGGTAATGTCCAAAATTAGTTATTGCGATTTAGTTTATATTCCATTTCTTGACTCAATTTCTCTA